CGCTAGCATGGCAACCCATGCACTTCCCATCTGGTATGCTAATAAAAGACGAGCACCACCAAATATCCGTCTGCGTCCTGATGGGCACCCGGTGCCGAGGCGCACAGCTTCCGACAGACCCCTAGCAGCAGCAGCAGCAGCAGCAGCAGCAGCAGCAGCAGCAGCAGCAGCAGCAGCAGCAGCAGCAGCAGCAGCAGCAGCAGCAGCAGCAGCAGCAGCAGCAGCAGCAGCAGCAGCAGCAGCAGCAGCAGCAGCAGCAGCAGCAGCAGCAGCAGCAGCAGCAGCAGCAGCAGCAGCAGCAGCAGCAGCAGCAGCAGCAGCAGCAGCAGCAGCAGCAGCAGCAGCAGCAGCAGCAGCAGCAGCAGCAGCAGCAGCAGCAGCAGCAGCAGCAGCAGCAGCAGCAGCAGCAGCAGCAGCAGCAGCAGCAGCAGCAGCAGCAGCAGCAGCAGCAGCAGCAGCAGCAGCAGCAGCAGCAGCAGCAGCAGCAGCAGCAGCAGCAGCAGCAGCAGCAGCAGCAGCAGCAGCAGCAGCAGCAGCAGCAGCAGCAGCAGCAGCAGCAGCAGCAGCAGCAGCAGCAGCAGCAGCAGCAGCAGCAGCAGCAGCAGCAGCAGCAGCAGCAGCAGCAGCAGCAGCAGCAGCAGCAGCAGCAGCAGCAGCAGCAGCAGCAGCAGCAGCAGCAGCAGCAGCAGCAGCAGCAGCAGCAGCAGCAGCAGCAGCAGCAGCAGCAGCAGCAGCAGCAGCAGCAGCAGCAGCAGCAGCAGCAGCAGCAGCAGCAGCAGCAGCAGCAGCAGCAGCAGCAGCAGCAGCAGCAGCAGCAGCAGCAGCAGCAGCAGCAGCAGCAGCAGCAGCAGCAGCAGCAGCAGCAGCAGCAGCAGCAGCAGCAGCAGCAGCAGCAGCAGCAGCAGCAGCAGCAGCAGCAGCAGCAGCAGCAGCAGCAGCAGCAGCAGCAGCAGCAGCAGCAGCAGCAGCAGCAGCAGCAGCAGCAGCAGCAGCAGCAGCAGCAGCAGCAGCAGCAGCAGCAGCAGCAGCAGCAGCAGCAGCAGCAGCAGCAGCAGCAGCAGCAGCAGCAGCAGCAGCAGCAGCAGCAGCAGCAGCAGCAGCAGCAGCAGCAGCAGCAGCAGCAGCAGCAGCAGCAGCAGCAGCAGCAGCAGCAGCAGCAGCAGCAGCAGCAGCAGCAGCAGCAGCAGCAGCAGCAGCAGCAGCAGCAGCAGCAGCAGCAGCAGCAGCAGCAGCAGCAGCAGCAGCAGCAGCAGCAGCAGCAGCAGCAGCAGCAGCAGCAGCAGCAGCAGCAGCAGCAGCAGCAGCAGCAGCAGCAGCAGCAGCAGCAGCAGCAGCAGCAGCAGCAGCAGCAGCAGCAGCAGCAGCAGCAGCAGCAGCAGCAGCAGCAGCAGCAGCAGCAGCAGCAGCAGCAGCAGCAGCAGCAGCAGCAGCAGCAGCAGCAGCAGCAGCAGCAGCAGCAGCAGCAGCAGCAGCAGCAGCAGCAGCAGCAGCAGCAGCAGCCAACGCGGTACCGAAATACTCTGACAAATCGTCCTCAGACGGTCCATCACCGAACCATCTGCCTCACTGCCTGGAGTAATCTACTCACCTACACATTCCAACCTTCAGTCTTTCAACGACCCAGCCGCCAGCACCCATCTGTGCTCCGACAACCCCCACATTGCTTCCCCAACTACAAACCTTAGCGGCTCCACCTCTGCAAAGGAAGAAAACGATACACTGCCGGTCATCTGTTGACCGGCAGCACCCTAGTTACTCCCGCGCTCATCACTCAAACGGGCCTCGCCTGTATCTACACTAACGCACAGGGTCTCATGTCCAAACTTCCGGAGCTCCAATCCCGACTTCTGTCAACGCCAGCGGACCTAATAGTCATAATGGAAACGTGACTCTCCGACGACATAACCGACGGTGAAGTCCAACTTCCTCACTTGTCAGTTCTACGCTCTAACTGTGCAACCCCTGGTGGCGGTGTCGCACTGTAGTATGACATCTCCCTCAATTGTGGCATGTTAACAAACACTGCTCTCCAGTGTCCAGACACCATGTGGTGCGAAGTCGTACTAACCTCCAAACACTCCAGCTGTCTTGGTATCATTTACCGCCCCCAAAACAACTCTCTCGAGAAGGACGCACAACTACTGCACGACGTCCACCTTATGTTATCCCACAAGCGCAACACTTTCTTATCATGGGCGATTTCAATCTGCCCCGTTTATTTCACTCTGTCCCGTCTACGGACTCCTTTGCATCAGGCCTCATTGATCTTCACATGGCCCCGTTGTACAATCACACGTATCAGGCGACCAGATTCCGATCCAACAACCAACCATCCCTGCTAGATCTGGTCCTCACTAACGAAGCACCGATGGTTGAGCACGTTGAGTATGATGCCCCTTTGGGGCTTAGCGACCACTGCGTCCTCCGGTTTGATTTTGTATGCTTCGCCGAAAAACCCGTCAGCACGCTAACTTATACCAAACGCTGGACTGATTACGGAAAGTTGAACCTTCTCATTTCCGCTAACAACTGGTCACCCGAGCCCCAAACAAGTGCCGACATAGTGTGGTCAAACTCTTGCCTTACCCTACGTGAACTCTGCTCCACTACGACGACGTGCAAAGAAGTTTCCATAGGGAAGAGACGCCCAGCGCTCATCCGAAGTCGTACACTGAAGTGGATTGCCCCTAGGGACACGGCATGGCGAAACTGTCGCTCCCATCCAACAGCCACTCGGTGGGAATATTACCGATCCATCCGTCTCCAATGCGTCCATCTTGTACGAGAAGATAAGAGTGAGCATCAGCGTCAGTTTATGCGTAAATTTTCATCCAATCCCAAAGGCTTGTATAGTCACGTCAACAGTCTTCGACAAGTCAAGCACGGTGTCACCGCATTGACGACTCCCACAGGGCTCACGAAGTCAGCGAACGAGGCAGCAGAAGTCCTGTGCCAGCAGTACGCATCCACATTTTCCGTTCCATCAATACATACAACGATAGTACCTTCTACGGTATCACCCCCAACTTCCCTGACGACTGTTCCTTTCACTCCGAAGAAGGTCCTGACGAAACTCAAATCTCTGCGGCTAACGGCCTCTCCTGGCGCTGATGGTTTCCACCCAAGACTCTTGCGAGCATGCGCTGCGGCTCTAGCTTTACCCCTAGCGGAGCTGTTCACCCACTTCTTCTCACAAGGCAAAGTTCCCAATGATTGGAAATGTGGGACTATTACAACAATATAAAGGCGGTACTCGCAAAGATCCGGCCAATTACCGACCGATTACTCTCCTCTCTACGATCTCCAAAGTGATGGAATTGATCGTCGCAGACGCTTTAGTAGACTAAATGAAGGCCCAGAATCTGCTCTCCGATTACCAGCACGGTTTCCGGCGGCAACGATCGTGCCTGAGTAACCTGCTACTTGCCAGGGATAGCTGGACGACTGCTGCCGACTGTAGCCTAGAAACGCATGTTATATTCCTGGATTTCGCCAAAGCCTTCGACAAGGTCCACCACAACATTCTACTACAGAAACTGTTGTCTTACGGCGTTTCAGAGGCCTTGATGGACTGGATCCGGAACTACCTTCAAAACCGTACCGTCCAAGTACGTGTCGACGGAGCGTTGTCCCCTCGCATCCTTGCCACAAGCGGAATTCCACAGGGGTCTGTTCTCGGACCGCTCCTCTTTCTGGTCTTCATTGATGATGTCACACTGCAAGGAGTCTTCGCTGCTGCTGTGTGCAGATGACGCGAAGCTGTGGTGCACAATTAACCTTCCGGACGATGCCCACGAGCTTCAGACGGACCTCAATCGTCAACAGCAGTGGTCCATAGAAAACAATCTTCCGTTTGACGCTTCGAAATGTTGCGTCCTTTCTATCCGCCCTTCCGTTTTTCTCCTACGTATTACCTTGGAGCGTCTATCCTCCAGATCTCTTCGGCCGAAAGAGACTTGGGTATCATTACCCAGACCAGTCTTTCCGTATCCGCTTCTTGCCGGAAAGCAGCCTCTGCTGCTAACCTCATGATGAGATTACTGAAACGAGCCTTTGGTCAAATTGACCCTAGCAATTTCCGCTTCCTCCTCAACACTTTTCTTCTACCCCACTTGGAGTTCGCTATTTTGGCTTGGAGCCCCTGGTTGATGAAGGACCAACGCATACTCGAAACCCCACAACGTCGAGCAACCAAACTGGTCCGAGGTCTCAAGCATCTAGATTATCCACAACGACTTCACTGCCTGGGCCTCTACTCGCTTAAGTACCGACGTCTCCGGAGCGACCTGATCCTTGTATTTATGATAGTATCCAATCCTGGACATCCCTGTCGCCACCTACTCACACTGCACCAATCGTGCTCCCACCTACGTGGCCACCCACTGAGGCTCACACGTCAGCATAGTCGGCTGAACTGCAGACGACACTACTTCGCTTTGCGAATCTGCCGACCGTGGAATGCTCTGCCTGCCGATTTAGTCTTGGCACCCACTGTGGGGGGTTTTAAGACCCGCCTGGACTGTCATCTGGCCGAGCTACACCGCGATATTCCCTGATATAACTACCTTCTACTTGACGAAGTTTCTTTCCTTTTTCTCTTCTACCTACTTCCGTTCCATAGCCGTTTCGGAGGGCGTGGTGGGATGTCACGTTTTGAGCCGGCGTGCATTCTGTTTAAATGCCGCATAAGCCCGATGAAGATACGGCTAACACTCTAATCCAACCCGCTATAAGGTTGCTTTTCCTTTTATTAGACCCGACCCGAATTCTCTTTACCCTATGGGTCATGTAAAGCTCGAGCTTTTATTCCCATTAAATGCAATGTTCACAATGTGCAAGCCTGTCCTCCATGCTTGGTACGCGACAAGATGACACTTGCACGAGTTCTGAGGATTGGTACAAAAATGGTCCAATGGTTAAGGCATCTCTCGTATCCTGATAGGCTGCTCAGGTTGCAGGTGTTTTCGCTGCACTGTAGGCGCCTTTGGGGAGATCTGATTCTTACGTACCGTATATTGACCAGCAAGATTGGGCCTGATCTAACTGGACTGTTCCATCCTGTTCTTCGTGCTCACCCTCTGAAGCTGCATAAGCCCAGATCTGATCACGTTAGAGCTGACTATCGTTTATCACGCAGGGTCATCGACTCATAGAACGCGCTACCCGGTGAAGTAGTATTAGCACCAACGGTGAAGTAGTTTGAACATCGACTCGACGCCCTTGAGTTACAGTTTCAGACCTTTCCGTTTGGTTCTTAACTTCTACATTTATTTCCTTGGCTTCTCACATTTATTACTATTATTGTCTTATCCGCACATTCTCTCCTGTACTACAATTATAATTATTTTGTTTTGTTGTTTCCCTTCTCTTAGCCTTTATTCTATTCACGTGGCCGGTACAGCGGGGACTGCTAGTGCAGACCGCGTGTTCATTGATTGGTTGACTGTTGTGTGATTCGTGTATTGATTTGGTTCTTCTCAGTTTCCAATCGTTCCCACGAACTCCATCCTGGTTCAACGACGCATTGAAGAAAGAACACATGGGAATTTTCCTGTCCAAATTGAACTTGAACTTGTACCTTACAACCCTCACTAACGAAACAGGTTAGTGTAGCCGGTCCGCGGGCGTCACGGTAACTCGTTAACAGGTAAGAGGTCGATCGGTTTTGCTTCCTCTTATCATCACCCTCATATTTTTCTCCGGCACTCTTCCGTGCTTCCTTAGCTGCTTCCTTTACATCGGCCTCTTACTAGACGGCTCGCGCATCCAGCCGTCTACGAGGTATTTATTTTGCATTGCAGCTTGTACTCACGTGCGGAACTTAGAACATTTCAGAACGTTCAAAATAGATGCGATAATCGTTAATAATCGATTAATCGCTAAACTAGTGGCTTTTCTATGCAATTTTTACTTTTTCCCTTACGACGTAGCTTCAAATGCAGGTCAAGCTGGTGTCGGCATTGTTTTGAGTCCCCGACTGGATCCCAGTGAACAGCGGATGTGCGCCCTTAGGTTGGCTGGATCGTTCCCGTCTTCGAAGTCGCGCGGGGACAAATGGTGCCTGTTTGTCATTGCGGCTTATGCCCTCACAACCTGCATCCCTGATTCGGTGAAAGCTGATTTCTATCATCAACTTAACGATCTTCGTTACACAGAAAGTACGGATACTGGGATGTTTGCTTGTGATCTAAACGCGCGTCGGCAAATTATCCTCTGGGCGGCCAATATGGTGTAGGCTCCCGTAATGATAATGCCAAGCGGTTGTGACACCTGTGTGAAGGTGCCCGTTTCTTTCTCCCGGGCACTAACTTTCGACATATCACCCGCAGAAGGGTGACTTGAAGCCCACCAGCCTTGGACACAAATCGATCACGTCGCGATTACCGCTGGAGAGGCTGCGTCCAAAACTGTCGCTCGATTTGGTGCACCAGCGTTTACTCCGATCACGCTCTTGTGTGTGCTGATCTGCGGGTGCATTTCGGCGGACGTCCGCAACGTCGCTCTGAGCGCATTGACACCAGCCAGATGGCGAAGCCAGGTGCTCTGAATGCGTATCAAAGTACGCTGGCATCTGGGCTGAGTTAGTATCCACTGAACGCCGTCGAAGATCATTAGTCGCATATTCGTCAAACGTTGCTATCAGCAGGCATGTCTTCATGTAGCAAATCAAATTGCCAACCTAGACATTGGGTCTCTACAAAGTCTCTGGAACTTATGGATGCTCGCCGACGTATTCCGCCTGGAAGCGAAGGCAATGAAACTCGTAAAAATCTCAGGGAAAAGCTGCGTGCTAGCCTGAAGACAGACCGCGAAGCCTGGTGGTCTCATCATGCATCGGAAATGCAAGCAGCCGCTGCCGTTGGTATTCATCGTGTTATTCCGTATGATACGAGAAATAGGCAGCAGGAGACCTGGTATTAGCGAGAATACGCGACGACAGTGAACAGCCGGTCCACAGCTTGTCGAAACGCTTGGAGGGTTGAGCCGAACACTTTGCAAGGCAGTTTGACCAACCTGATTTATCGCCTTCTCTTTCGCCCATTGAGTTCTATTCTCCATGGGCCGTCTCCTTAGATCCGCCCTCACGTGCAGAATTCGAACGTGAGGTCAGACCTTTGAAACTTCATAAGGCCTTTGGTGCAGATAGAATTCCCCTAGCTCTCTACAAATTCGGGAGACCTGCTCTTGTAGATGATTTACACGCGTTGCTAATGGAACTTTGGGAGCAGACTGTCCCAACAGACTGCAGCCGCCCCGTTATAGTCCCAATTTTCAATGAAGCCTCCCGTTCAGATTGTAGGAACCATAGAGGGATCAGTCTGATCACAATTCTCTAAATTGCTTACCTCTGTCAAGTTCAAGCGGGACTAGAACGATAGGATTATCCCATGAGTGTTCCGTCATCAGCGGGTCGAACCAGGAGTTGGCAGATGTTGAACTATTGGACTTAAAACAAAGACCGCATCACACCCCGTCCAACCATTTAATGCCCACGTATCCTGACCTAGCAGTCCCTGCTGGGCCGGCTACATGAAGTAAGGAAGAGAAAAAAGTAAACTCATAAGACAAAAGAGAAAGTGGAAAGAGCTAAACGAGTGGAATACCAAGATATTTGAGTCATTAAAAGAAACTGAAAAGTGAAGATGAGTCAGTTAGTCATAAGGAAAGATTTGGTGTTGCCACCCAAAAACATCGAGCTGGTGCGCAAAACCCTTACTCGTAGGTTCCCTAACCACGTGATCTGGAAGCGAATTCCAGCGATGTATAACTCGGCGCGACAGACGAGTTTCCACCCTAATACCATCAGACCGTGGTTTATGCAGTTTCAGTGGGTGACCGCGGAGATTAGGAAACGTAGCGCGACTAAATAGCCCTGACAAGTCCGGACCAATCTTACTCGTCAAAATACGATAAGTGATAATCAGGTCCCCTGTTATCCTTCGGTAGTGCATAGAGTACATCCCCAAACTGAGCAAGCGTTCAGGATACGTCTGTCCCCTTAGACTCTGCACTAACCGAGTGTCCACTCGTAACACCCTCTCTAAGTCCATTTTGTCTCGGTTAAGACATGGTGGACAAGCCTGAATACAATATTCCAGGTGGGGTCGGACGAATGCCGAGAATGACTTCACAAACAAATTGGACGTTAGGATTCCGAAAGAGCGGCGGATAAACCACATCATACGAAACCCTCGACAAGCAGTCTTCTTCCCATTGTCGCCAGAATGGAGTGCCCTAAATCAATCTGTTGAGTGATAACAGGGAGTCCACCACCGCCGACAACATATCGGTTGGGAGGATTAGCAGTTTCGATTTCGAAAATAGAGCACTTGGCCCTATTTATGGGCATCAACCATAAGGTAGACCATTCCCAGACCAGAGCCTATCCAAGGCATGAAGAATTGACTCAGGACTTCCCGGGATATTCACAATATTCCAGAGCTTAAGATCGTCAGCACACATTAGTGATGACAACCCTAGCTCTCTCGGCAAGTCATTTACATAGATCGTGAACAACAATGGCCCCAATACCGAGCCCTGCGGGACGCCACTAAGGACAGCTTGCCTGGGCGAAAGGCTACGCCCCCACCCGTACGCACTGTTCCCTCCCCTCAAGGAAGGCAGACACTCATTGAAGGGCGCGACCAGATATCCCGTAAGATCTCAACTTTAGTGAGAGTCGAAGATGAGGAATAGTGTTAAAAGCTTTCGAAAATTCCACGAACAGCACTTGTACAGCTTCGCCACAGATTGTCTGACGCTCGTGATGGTCAGATCAGCGGAGAACAAGTTGGGTTTCATCGAAATGAAGGCCGCATGGACCACATCTTCAGTTTACGTGAATTGTTGGAGCACCGCCATGTTTATTGACGATCCACCTATGTCCTCTTTCTCGGCACCAATGGTGCCTTTGATTCTGTGAATCGATGTACCCTTTGGGACTCTGTCTGTTAAGGAAAGACGTGCTCGATAAATATGTAAACATTATCAAAGCGCATAGTGAGGGTTTATGGCAAACTGTCACCGCCCTTCAATATCTCCAGCGGTGTGAGACAAGGTTGTTCGTGGTCACCTTTTTTCACTGCGCTATTGTTGAAGTCATGGAAACAGCGTTCGCTGAACACGACCTAGAAGGTGTGGAGCTACCTCCTGGTCAGCGACTTCTTGACTTGGATTATGCGGACGACATTGCCCTCAAACGTGACAACGCCCAAACGTGCCAGACTGCAATGGACCTATTAGCACTGGCTGTTAATTGTTTTGGGATTTGCTTTGCTCCATTGAAATCCGAAGAACGTCTTTACAATTGGCAAGGACCCACCCATGCGTTGACCGTTGGTGGTGATGAGCTAGAAGTCGTTCAGGAATTCAAGTTCCTGGGCAGCTATATTAGCGTCTGTGGCATCGAAGCTGAGATTACGAACCGTATAGCAAAAGCTCGAGGTGCTTTTGTCAATCTCCACCACCTGTGGTGCAGACGCGACATCACTCTCGCCCTGAAAGGCAGAGTTTATAATGCAGTCGTTTATTCAACTCTCCTGTATGGTTGTGAAACCTGACCCATCATGTCGACAGACATAAAGAGTTTCGTCACATTGGATCATCGCTGCGTTGACAGCTTGGCTCATGTCTGGTTGGAGCAGTGCATGAGCGGTGAGCATGATCGGCGTCGCTTATTTGGTGCAGCAAATCCTAGTGAACTGCTCAGCACCATTATATCGCGCACCCAACTCCGGTGGCTGGGCTACGTGTTGCGCATTCCAGCACACCGACTTCCGCGAGGTGCATTGTTTGCGCGCCGAGGATGCCGTTGGAAAAGGAGGTGGGGAGGCTAATCGATGACTTGGTCGAGAAAAATGAATACCCTTACTTCGAAGTTGGTGTCGGTTGGTGCATCCCGACTGCCAGGCTGGTGTCCTAAGGAACACGTTTGGTTGGACACACTTGTTGATATGCTTAGGAGCCGGCCCTAATGCCGTTTGTGTTGTGAGTTTCTTTGTCTATTCCCCTCCTGCTTAGCCTCCTCCTCCAATCATGGTCTCATTCGATAGACATAATATAACTTTTTGCGGCACATTAGCTGGCTGTTATCTTTCCGAAACGATGTCCATCACTTACTGGGAATTCAGCCGGCGAGCCTCTGTTGTTTTTTCTTGTCTTACGGCACAATAACTGCAGCTAACGTGTATAATGATGATGATCTCTACCTGATACGATCAATTATGATCGAAATGCGTCATTGAGTGCGTTGTTTTCGAGTGGGCAACACCCAGTTTCCTTCTGGTCATGGTTGACGAACGTTCACCATAATTTTTACTCTCTGGTCACGAAACTAACCACTAACGGTTGCTTCCACCGTTTATAGCCACTTTACTCCCAATGTTGGAGGATTCGCTGGATTCAAAAGAGAGATCAGTTGTGTATTCTCTACCGGTTGAGGCTGATACTACTCTTACTGCGACGAACGGCACATCCTACGACTCGTTATCAAATAATGCTCGTCGTTCTGTGCAAACTGATTTGAAGTCATCGTCATCGTTTGACCGGGTTCAGCATTTGAGATCACACGTCTCTCCATACCTTCTGAATATGTTACAGAAGCGTTGTGTTTATCTTCCTCTTACACGAAAAGTGATCCATGAGGGCTGGCTTATGAAGCGCGGCGAACACATCAAGAATTGGCGTCGTCGCTACTTCAAGCTGCGTGAGGATGGTACCTTCTATGGCTACAAAAGCCAACCGAAAGTAAGTTACTTTTCTTCACTTGGCTCTTGCTCGTACACCCTTTGTCGTTCCTTCTTACCCAGCTGATTATTTTTCATTCCTTTGACAATCTCATAACCATCGTTGGTTCCTGTCGATGTAGATTTACCATTTCACGATTACCATGTCTTCCTCGGAGTAAGGCTGATTGTGACGCATGACAGTGAAAGCTGTTTCATCGGTGCCCACATTGTCTTCGCAGGATAGCCATATGTTTGCGTTCGTGCTATTGACAAGACGTAGGCACCTTAAACCCGAATGTTTTCTCAAGGCTTTTGGGTTTTACTCTGGGTCGGTCCCTCTTCTATCCATCTTAGTGTTTTTCACTCCAGAGGTCATTATGTTTCCACAGAGGGGGAGAGTCAGTTTAAATTAATGGTGTACTGCCATTGATGATGATAATAATAACTACTCAACCATCAGCCCAATGATTGGCCATTTTTGACTTCTTGTTTCCTGGATTCCGATCAACGATGTGGAGCCTGTCGATTGCAATCTTCTTTTATGTTACCAGCGCACGCCTCTTTTAACTCTTAATCTGATGCATACCTTTACTTTCTTGGTGACGCTTGCTGGAAGCTATTTTTCCTTGCGTTTGTTACCTGAGTTTATGTACAGTACTTATGCCTTCTTCATACTGATGAATATCCTCAGCTCGACTGAACACGGCGGGATAACTGACCATCTACTGATCAAGACGATTTCACCTTTATCTTACCGATTTTTGATATTGAGATAACTACCTATATTTACGGTTAACGGACAATTACAGTTTCTTCATCCTCCACTTTGAGCCACGACGAGATCTTTCGCGTAGTTTGTAGCCTAACTTGATTACTTTTATGCCGCTTGTCGAAGACAATCGCAACAAGATTATATTTCACTGTGAAGATGGCCGGTGGTTTCCATGCTTCCGTCGTTTAGTTACATTAGATATCACTTTTCAAGTGTCTGTAGAATCAACCACCACATAACCCAGTGACTAAAGCTCGGAAAACAGTCTCAAAGTCTTATCCATGGAGGTTGGTTAGATGTCAATCATTATTTACTTGCTGTTCAGTTACGTTGGACATCAGTATGCGATTTGAATGCCCACCTCGATTGGCATAGGGCACGAGTGCCACTATATGGTTGGATCTTAATTCACAGCCTGATGTGCATCATCAGATTAATTGGCGCATACAAGGCGTCAAAGCCGCGCGGGGACAAACGGTGTCTCTTTGTCATTACTGCTTACGCCTCTGCAAACTATGATGAAAGATAACTTCTATCCCCAACTGAACGAGCTTCTTTGTTATCGAATACTATAGTGCTGGTTGGTGTTCTGGATGCTCAAGATGGAAAACTATCCACTGGTGAGCTGCATTTGAGCGGCCAACACGGTGTAGGCTCCTGTAATGGTAGAGGTGAGCGGTCACTACACCTGGGTGAATATGATTGTCTCTTTCTCGCGAGCGCTACCTCCCAACAGCACCCGCAGTATGTTGGCACGGCGCACACCAGCCGCGGATGCAAATCCATCTCATCGCGATTAGTTACCGTCAGAGATGTGTTCCAGTATGCCGTGTGATTTGGAGCACGAACGTCGACTCCGAACGCGCACCTAACTATGCAGATCTCAGGGTTCGCTTCAGCTTGCGCCTACGGCGACGCTGTGAGTACATAGACACTAGCCAACTGGCGAAGGCAGATGAATGCATGTCTAACTACACTGGCGTTTGGGTTGAGTAAATGCTCACTGGACACAGTTGAAAATCACTGGCCGCATGTCCACCAAATATGACTAATAGCAGGCATATATTCATGTGGCAACAAAATATCAACCTGGATATTGGGTCTCTAATGCTACTGGATTCTCACTGACGTATTTCGACGGGCAACCAACACAACGGACTCGCAAAGATCTCTGGGCAAAACTGTGTGCTAGCCTGAAGAGAGACCGTGAAGCCTGGAAGCCTCATCGTGAATGGAGATGGAAATGGCCACTTCCCTTTATAAACGCCAAAATTGGCAACAGCCGCTGCGCTTGGTAACCATCGTAAATTATCCCGTCAGATACGGGGAACGGGTGGCAGGGGACCTTGCCTTAAAGAGACAATATGCGGCGAGAATGGATAGCTAACCTACAGCTTGTCAAAACGCTCGGAACGCCGGACCGAACACTTGGAAAAGCAGTTTAATCAGCCAGAGTGGTCAGCCTCTTTATCGGCCATTGATCGCCCTTCTTGGGCCGTCTCTTTTTCATCCACCCTGTCACACAGTAATCGAACAACTGTTGAGTTAGGCCTCAAGACTAGCTGAGCTTCATGCATCTCTTCGAATTCGGAAAACGAACTCTTGTGGATAATTTGCACAACTCACTAGTGATTCTGGGGACCAGGAAACTCCCGACAGACTGCAACCTCTCTGTTGTCGTCCTTATCTTCACAGAATGCTTACTTTTGAGATGCGATAATCATACAGAAATCAGCCCGATCTCAAATGCTTCAAAGTTACTTGCCTTGTCGTTCTTCATAGATTGTCTAGCCCTCGTGAAATCCAGACTCGTGATGAGCAATCCGGGTTTCCTCTGTCGCGGCTGTATTGATTACATCTTCACCACTTGTTGGAACTCCACCACACTTATTGGCTGCCCACCGTATTCTTATTCCTGGACATCAAAGGTGCCTTTAATTCGTTGGATCAATGTGTCTTTTGGGATAATCTGCTTGAGAAAGGTGGGCCGGATACAAATGTAAATGTCGTCAAAGCGCTCTATGCGCCCTTCAGTATCTCCAGGGTTGTACGACAGACGTGCGCTATCATAAAGTCATGGAGACGGTATCCAGTGAATACGACTTATAAGATGTGGAGCTGCTTCCACATGGGAGGCTTTTTGATTTGGAGTGCACCGACAACATTGCCGTAATCTCGCAAATGTGCTAAGCAGCACTAGACAGCTTAGTACTGGCTGTCAATCGTTTCGGGCTATGCTATGCATGTTGAACTGTAAAGTTCTCCATGATTGGCAGGGACCGCCTCCTGCGTTGACCCTTAATGATGGTGGGCTGTGTCCTCCAGAAATTGAAGTTCTCTGGCAGATATGTTATCATCTGTGGAGTAGAAGATAAAAACACAAGCGTCGAAACACTTTTGCTACTCATCTCCACGTATGGCGCTGGCGCGACATCCCCTACTTCTGAAGGACGGAGTTTACAACCCAGCTGTGCATTCCATCCCCTGTACCTTTGCGAAACCCATCGCAGTGAGGCTGGGCCTTACCGTGGTGCGATGGTTTGTGTGCCTCTGTGATCCATTGAGCTATACTGGGTGGTGCTTTTGCACCTTCAGAGTCACTCATACCAGATTGGTCAATGGTTAGAGGCCAGGCAAACTCAGCCTCCTGGTCCTCCAGGTTGGGGGTTGTAATGAGGGTGGCGCCTTATTCCTTAAAACGGACTCCTTGTAGTCCAACGCCAAACCCGCTGCCTTGCGGTCAGGTTTTTGAACCAAAAGCTTTGATTGAGAACCCTAATCGTTCTCCTGTCTAGGCCTGGGCAACCTGACAGTATGCTGCCCACGCAATACCATGAATCTTACCTCAAACAAATTTCTGATGCTCTGGCCACCGCAGAGGATAATCAACGGTGCCCTATCTGCTGCATCGGGCAGGGTGGATAGGGGTTAGGATGCTACTGCCCAAGCCTTCCCGTCTTCTTATTCCACCTCTTACGCTTTTTCACTCTTACCGTCCCCTTCCAACTTCACTTATATCCCCCCCAGTTTTCAACCCCCTGATTCTTGGCCCTCCCCAACATGCTTTGCTAGGCATTTATCTTCTAATTTCAGCTCACATGTGAACGCGGAGCGTCACTCCTCTCCTGTCGACAAGACCATGTCCAACCAAGCGGTCCATTCCAGTTCATCGGCTTCCATTTGGCGCCCTCGATCCTCCAAGATTGGCATGCCTCAATGTACGCACACTACTACAAATCGGTCAACAGGCAGCACTTGCCGAACATTGGAGACCCTCTCGATCGATATCTGCTGCTTATCAGAGACCCGCCTGCAAGACTCGAGCTCTGTGCTCACTCTGCGATCCCGTTCAGGTGACGCAGACAGTATTTTCTCAGTGCGCCTATCCGGTGACGATGCAGCTTCGAGCACCGGCCAAGCTGGTGTTGGCATCGCCCTGAGTCCCCGGGCTGAAGCTGCTCTGGTTGATTGGATTCCAATCAGTAGCCGGATGTGTGCGGTCCGATTGGCTGGCTCGTTTAAAGCTTCGAAGTCGCGCGGGACTAATAGGTGTCTATTCATCATCGCTGCCTACGCGCCCACAAACTAGCGATGATTCGGTAAAGCGCAACTTCTACCGCCAACTGACTCAGCTCCTTCGCCACAGAAGAAGCACGGAGACTGTTGTGCTGGCAGGGGATCTGAACGCACAAGTTGGAAAGTTGTCCACTGATGAAATGCATCTGGGCGGTCAGCACGATGTAGGCTCCCGTAATGATAACGGTGAGCGGTTACTTCATTTGTGTGAAGATGCCCGCTTATTTCTTGCGAGCACTAATTTCCGACACAGCACCCACCGGAGGGTGACTTGGTGCCCACCAGCCTCGAACCAGCCTTGGACGCAGATCGATCACATTGCTATTAGTTATCGCTGGAGAGGCTGCATCCAGAATTGTCGCTCGATTTGGAGCACATGTGTGGACACCGATCATGCACTTGCATGTGCTAACATGCGGATGCGCTTTGGCGGACGCCCACGACGACGCTGTGAGCGCATTGACACCAGCCAACTGACAAAGCCAGCTGTTCTGATTGCGTATCGAAGTACGCTGACATGCAACTGTGTTATGTGTATTGTATTTTATGTATGTATGTATTTCCTTCATGTATTGCAGCACAATAGCGGAGGTGTTTTCGCACCTCTAGCTGATGTGTATAATGATGAATGATAATGACCTTTGCGAAACCTGGTTCATCAGACAGCCCGA